TTTCCCAATTCCCAAGTTTCCCAATTCCCAACTTTCCCAATTCTTAAATTTCCCAATTCCAAATTTTCCCAGTTTCCAAGTTTCCCAATTTTCAAATATCCCAATTTCAAATTTTTCCAATTTCCAAATTCCCCAATTTCCAAGTTTCCCAATTTCCGAGTTTCCCAATTCTCAAATTTTCCCAGTTTCCAAGTTTCCCAATTCCCAAGTTTCCCAATTTTCAAATATCCCAATTCCAAATTTTTCCAATTTCCAAATTCCCCAATTTCCAAGTTTCCCAATTCGCGAATTTCCCAATTTTCAAATTTTCCCAGTTTACAAGTTTCCCAATTCCCAAGTTTTCCAATTCTCAAAATTCCCAATTTTCCGAATTTCCAATTTTCCCAGTTTCCAAGTTTTCCAATTTTCAAATATCCCAATTCCAAATTTTTCCAATTTTCAAATTCCCCAATTTCCAAGTTTCCCAATTCCCGAATTTTCCAATTTTCAAATTTTCCCAGTTTACAAGTTTCCCAATTCCCAATTTTCCGAATTTCCAATTTTCCCAATTCCCAACTTTCCCAGTTTCCCAATTCCCAACTTTCCCAATTCTTAAATTTCCCAATTTCAAATTTTCTCAGTTTCCAAGCTTCCCAGTTTCCAAGTTTCCCAGTTCTCAAATTTCCCAATATTCCCAATTACCAATTTTCCCAATTTTCAAATTTCTCAGTTTCCAAATTTTCCCAAATCTCTAAATCTCTAAATCTCTAAATATCTAAATCTCTAGATCTCCAAATCTTCATATTGCAACAATACTTATTATATGACCCAAATTACTGATGTTTAAAAACTCTAGGTCTAATAGTAGTTACTTGTTTCTAGTACTTTTTTCAGGAATTAAATTTAATTTAATTTTTGCTTACTATAGACTTGTTTGCAGGTATTAATGAATTAACTCTTTAACACACTTTCTAACATAAGTAAAACATTTTGATTGGAATAATCAAGTGACGCTGACACGACGAATGTAAGGAATTTGTTAAAATATGTTCGAACACCGTGTCGAATTCAATGACATTCTGTCATGTTTCACGATGATCAGCTAATTTCAAAAATTATGCCTCGTTTCGAGCGTTTGATGCTTAACAAAAATCCGAACACCTTGAAACGTTTCTGTTCGCGGGATCTTGACGTGTAAGATGCAATAGAAGCAACGATAAGCAAAACATTTAACGCTGGCTACCTGATTCTTGAGGAATCTGATGACTCGATGAGAATACTGCAAGTTGAACCTCTACTGCTGCTGTGACGTAAGAAAAATTCTTAAATTCTACAATTATGGATTTTTTAATTACTGAACCTTTAAATTTCCAAATTTCCTAATCTTCAAATCGCGAAATCTCAAAATTCCCCTAAATTTCCCAAAACTTGAAATTTACAGATTTTCCAATTCAGAAATTCCTCAATTATCAAATTTTCCAGTTTCCAATTTCCCAAATTTTCAAACTTCCCAAATATTCCCAATTTCTCAATTTCCCAATTTCCAAATGTGCCAATTCCTAAATTTCCTAGTACCCAAATTGACCAATTCCCAAATTTCCCAATTCCCAAATTGCCCAACTCCCCAATTCCCCAATTCCCCAATTCCCAATTTTCCCAATTTCCGTATTTCCCAATTTCTATAGTTCCTAATTCCCATATTTCCCAATTACAATATTTTCCAATTTCCATATTTCCCAAATCCCAAATTTTCCAATTTCCAAATGTGCCAATTCCTAAATTTCCTAGTATCCAAATTCCCCAATTCCCAAATTTCTGAATCTCCCAATCTCCCAATCTCTCAATCTCAAAATTTCAAAATCTAATTCTAGAAATTTAGAAAATTGGAAATTTGAAAGTACAGAAATTCGGTTCTCCAGGAATATGGAAGATATAACAATTTTAAAATTTCACAATTTGGGAATCTTCAAATTATCATACAAGAACCTTCAAATCTCAAAGCCGCTATAACATTCCTTCAAAATCTTCTGAAATTCAAAAGCTGCAAGATCTAAAAATCCCAAAACCAAAAATTCCGAAAATTGCACACTGAAAAATTCCAGAAATTGAAAAAAAAAAACAAAAATGTGCGAAACGAAAAATTATGAAGTTCAGATATGTATCCTTATCGGAAGGAAGCATACATATATTCGAAGATAAGATTATTATTCGGCCGTGCTAATTTTTTCTCTTGCATGTCGTTCACGCAAAAGAACTGTTCGCAGCTATGAAGACCGATACTTTTCCTTGCGACTGGCTACTTCCTTTATTTTCTCTCAGACATCCGGTCGGCGCGTTCGCGATTTCCGGAAGCGAGTAAGGTGAGAGGCGAGCGAGTTTCATTCACAAAGGCTTAGCTAGCGTGTTGCGTACAAATTGCGTGGATCACGTGCTCGTTATGCACACGTGAGCCGGGAATTTTGAAGAACGTAATACGGGGTGTCTGCGCTAAATAGCTACAGACCTGTTATTCCTTAATTACTCGTGGCACAGAATTATTTTGAGAAAATTTATATGAAAATTTTATGACATGAACGATACACTATTATTGATTTTTTAGTTATTCGATTGGTACAATGATTTATTTATTCAGTCGAATTATTCATTCATTTTTATTTAATTGCTCGTGGCACAAAATTATTTTGAGAAAATTTATGCGAAAATTCAATTGGACTAATTATTTATTTTTTAGTTATTCGATTGAAACAATTAGTTATTTAGTCAATTTAACCTAACCTAACCTAAGCAATTATTTATTTTTTAGTTATTCATTCAATTGCAACAATTAGTTATTTATTCAATTTGACCTAACCTAATCTAAGTAATTATTTAGTTTTTAGTTGTTCATTTGATTGGAACAACTATTTATTTATTTAATATGACTTAACCTAACCTAGGTAATAATTTAATTTTTAGTGATTCATTCAATTGGAAGAATTATTTATTTATTCAATCGAATTAGTTATTCAATCTGACCAAACCTAACCTTACCAATTATTTATTTATTAGTTATTCATTCGTTTGGAACAACTATTTATTTATTTAATATGACTTAACCTAACCTAAGCAATAATTTATTTTTTTACGTAACCTAAGTAATAATTTTTTTTTTCGTCATTCATTGGATTGGAAGAATTATTTATTTATTCAATCGAATTAGTTGTTCAATTTGACCTAACTTAACCTAACTAATTATTTATTTTTTAATTATTGATTCGATTGAAAGAATTATTTAATTGTTCAATCGAATTATTTATTCAATTTGATCTAACCTAACCTATTCAAATATTTATTTTTTAATTATTCATTCGATTGGTACAATTATTTGTTTATTCAAATCGAATCATTTATTCAATTTGAATAACTAATCCTCCGTTTAGTGGTGCAATTAATTATTCAAATCACTTATTTATTTAAGTAACTTGAATAATTAATTATTCATTTAATTGGAACAATTATTTATTTATTCAAATCGAATTGTTTGTTAAACTTGAGAAACTAATTCTTCGTTCAGTGGTAAAATTAATTATTCAAATCAGTTAGTTATTTATGTAACTTGAATATTTAACTATTCATTTAATTGGAACAATTATTTATTTATTCAAATCGAATTGTTTGTTAAACTTGAATAACTAATTCTGCGTTCAGTGGTAAAATTAATTATCCAAATCAGTTAGTTATCTATTTAATTTAAATATTCGTTCATTCTGATGGAACAATTATTTATTCATTAAAATCGAACAATTGAATTTTCATTCATTCAACTGGATTAATTATTTATTCAACTTCTGCTTCTCACTGCATCTATCTATTTCAGAAAACAGAATCTTTCCGGGTATGTGTTTATTATTCTGTAAATATAACTGCATTTTCATATTAAATTAAGCATAACTCAGTATGCAAAATAAGATGCAATTATCAAAACATGCAAAGTGTGTTATGTTAATATCAATCTTAGTAGATGAACTGATATTCAAACTGTAATTACAGATTGCAAATTCTATTAAAAAATATACTACTTTAATAACAGATGTGCGTTATAAATGTCTAAATTAATGTGAAAAGAAAATTTAATGTTTTATCATTTCTGAATAATTTTTGACATAATTTATTTATGTTAGCAGTAACTGCAGTTTATTACAAAAATCTATTTTTCAGAAAAGCTGAATATGTTTTCACAAAATTAATAAAAAGTCAAAAATATAAAAAATCAAATTAAATAAAAAAAAAATACAAAAATAAAAATATAGATTATTGTTAAGAAAATATTTTATGTTATCCTTTTCAAAATGTCTTTGCAATAAAATGATGGCATTTTTAAAAGTTTGACTCAAACTGAAGACTTTGGGAGCGAAAATTAATTTATTGTTATTTATTTTCAAAAATCAATCTATATTATTTATTGTTATTTTTAAAAAATTTTTTATTTATAATTTTCATGATATTTTATATATAACTTCACGTATTTCATATAATAGCTCTCTGACAATCATATATACATTATGTTGAAAATAATATGAATTATAAATTCTAAACCTTCCATAATAATTCTTCCATCTAAAAATGAGTCTTGCAATAAATAATCCCAATTACTTCACAGTAAAATTTACTACATCAACGTCATTTACAGAGCATCCGCCATTAAACCTATTCCTCGATTTCAGAATCGATCCGTAAAGTATCACGCGATCAGTCAGCGAAATTCCGGTTTTAATTAAGTCATTGACAACACGGAGTAAAATGACGAACAGTCCGCTCTACGTTGACAACTCACTGATTAACATCTTCACTTAAGACTAACCGACCGCATCAAGTTGTAAATGAAAAAAAAAAAATGCTTTTCACGCGAGCAACTTCGAACGGTCTGCCGAGCATGAAGCGGGAACTTAACGAAAACAAAAGAAAAACGAAGGATAAATCCTTGAACCGAGAGACCGGCTCGCGTGATATAAAGCACTTACTGATATAACTCGTGCACTTACGTGTTGGACTTAATCCGCTGCTCGTTGTATCGTCGATGAAAGTCAAGCAGTTCCTGCACCAGACCGGTCTCCATCATGGCATCGACCCTACTTTCCAGTCGTTCTTCAAGGACTTTCTGCAAGAATTTCGATGAAAGAGGGCTCGAATTAATTAACAGCAGGCTCAACGACATTGACTATTAACAAACATTTTCAGGACGAATTTTTGATAGGTTAATAGTTCACGTATTTAGAAATATCGAAATTTAACAGCAGTTCTGCACCAGATTCCATCATGGCATCGACCCTACTTTCCAGCCGTTCTTCGAGGACTTTCTGCAAGAATTTCGATGAAAGAGGGCTCGAATTAATTAACAGCAGGCTCAACGACATTGACTATTAACAAACATTTTCAGGACGAATTTTTGATAGGTTAATAGTTCACGTATTTAGAAATATCGAAATTTAATCTTGTGGCAGAGATTGTAGCAAGAGAATACGTTCGGATAGAAGTTAAACACTATAGACGATTTTAATGAATGTGATAGATAAAATAAGGTGGATTTCAAAAGTTCAGAATGTTTAAATTTCCAAATTTTTTAATTTCAGAATTTCAGAAATTCAGAAATTCAAAATTTCTAACTTCCCAACTTTCTAAATTTTTAAATTCTAAATATTCAAGTGTTAAATTTCTATATTTTTAAATACTTAAATACTAAATTTTTAAATCTTAAATTTCCAAATTATCAAACACTCAAATTGTAAATTTTCAAATTGAAAATTTCTAATATTTTAAATACTCAAATTCTAAATTTTAAATCCTAAGTTTCTAAATATCCAAATTCCAAATTTTCAAATCTTAAACTTGTAAATTTTTAATTTTCAAATTTATAAATATTCTGATTCGTAAATGTTAGTATGTTCGTTCGAAATACGCGGCAATCATCGCGTGGTAAGGTTAATATCGATATTGCAATGTTCTTTTGTGTTTTTTGGTGTTCGTGTCATTGCACGTTGCATAGTTCTTTCTTCTCTTCCTGGCGATCACGCGGATCGGACGCGTCGACTACACTTCTGCGTATAATAATTTTATATCTGCATTTCACGACCCTTTTGTATATTTCAATATATATAAATCATAGTCCTTAACAGGTTCTGGGCCCAGGCTATCGTGAAAAGTGTAAAAGTCGGTAAAAGTCGCGAAAAATATCCGAGAAACGCGCGTGCACGTGGCCGCGAATAAGTTAAAACATTTTTCGAACACGTAGAACATAACCGAAGTGCAATAATGAATGCCGCACGTATCGAAACGCTTTCGAAAGACAATTATGATACATGGAGAATGCAAGTGGAAGCGTTGCTAGTGAAAAACGATGCGTGGGGTTATGTGAGTGGCGAAAAAGCGGAACCGAAGATCGTCGTAGGGGACGCCGCATCGGAAGCTGCCCGAGATGCATGGACCACAGGCGATAGAAAGGCCAAATTGGACCTGATTCTGTCGATTAGTCCATCTGAGTTGAAGCAGATTAGAAGCTGCGAGACTGCAAGAGAGGTATGGTTGAAATTAGAGTCTATATATGCCTCGTAAGGGCCAGCGAGGAAGGCTACATACATTCGAAGATAAGAACATTGCATCGTATGAAGGAAGAGGAGGATATTAGAGAGCACGTGTTACAATGCTTCGACGTTGTAGATTAATTGGAAGCGATGAATGTCGAGATAAACCGAGATTTACTTGCCATTATGTTATTATATAGTTTGCCAGCGAGTTTAGAGAATTTCAGATGTGCGATTGAATAAAGAGATGAGCTGCCAAGTCCAGAGACTCTCAAAATCAAAATTATCGAGGAAAGTGATGCGCGTGCGCAGACAAATAAGTCGAATATTCAGGGCGCAATGGCGGCAAACCACGCAAAATGGAAGCCAAATATGAGATCTGACAAAAATGAGTCGAGGAAACCAAGAACAGGTAAATTCTCTTTTAAATGTTACAGATGCCATAAAGTAGGCCACAAGGCATCGGATTGCAAAGTCAGAGTAGACAAAAGTCAGGATCAGTCGAATAAGGCAGACGAGAATTCGATTGGGTTTTACGCTGAAGCAGTGTCGGTGGCTCGGAAGAATGAGATTAAGAGCGATAACACCGATCGAGTATGGATACTGGACAGTGGCTGTACATCGCATCTCTGTGGAGACATAAAACAATTTAGTAAGGTGAATATGTCTGAAACTGGAAAAATTAATTTGGCAAACTCGGCGTCTACCGCAATACAAGGAAGAGGACTTGTAAAAATTGCCACGCAGGACAAGAATAAAATAAGGTCGGTAGAGTTTAATGACACGTTATATGTCCCAGATTTGAGAGTCAATTTAATCTCTGTATCCAAGATCACGAGAAAAGGTTATAAGGTAACTTTTAAGAATAAATCAGCTGTTGTAACAGACAGAAAAGGGAACATCAGTTTGATAGCACACAGAGAGGGTGATCTGTATTATGTCCGAGAAAAGGTCGAATGTACAAAGGTAGCTGATACGGAGAGATGCACTGACGCCTACAAATGGCATAGGCGATTGGGACACCTGAACGGCCGAGATTTGGCAAAAATAATGGAGAGGATTGGACAAAATGGCAATATGATAAAAGAAGCAAAAGGGTTAACCATATGCGAGGTTTGTATGGAAGGGAAAATGAAAAGTACCCCCTTTCCAACGGGAAATACACCGTGTAATGAGAAATTAAGAATTATATATTCAGAAGTGGTCGGTCCGATGAGAACTGTCTCGAATGGAGGTGCTAGGTTTTTCGTAACATTTATAGATGATAGCACGAGATGGTGTAAAGTATATTTCCTAAAGCACAAAAGTGATGTACTTGATGCGTTCAAGAATTTTAGGAATTTAGTTCAAAATCAGACTGGAAAAAGGATAAAGTATTTACAATCGGACAACGGTCGAGAATTTTGTAATAAAGAATTTGATTGTTTTCTCAGGGATTCAGGGATCGAAAGGAGACTCACTATTGCACATACTCCACAGCAGAACGGAGTTGCAGAGAGGATGAATCGAACTCTTCAAGAAATGGCGAGATGTATGTTGATGGAATCAAAAATGTCAACCTCATTTTGGGCCGAAGCTATAGCAACGGCGTGCCATGTTCGGAATCCATGCCTTACCAGTAGTCTGAATGGTGAAATCCCATATGAGAAATGGACCGATAAGAAATTAGATATTAGTCATCTCAGGGTGTTTGGATCGGAGGTGTATATTCTGGATAAGACCCCTGGCAAGGATAAGTTTGCAGCAAGATCTAAGAAAGGTATATTTGTCGGTTACCCGTGTGAATCAAAGGGATATCGTGTATGGGTACCGGTTGAGCATAAAGTAATTGTCGCACGTGATGTTAAGTTTCTCAAGGATAAAGAAATTAAAAAGGGAAACGAAGTCAGAATTGATAGGCCTGATTTAGAAGAAAAAATGGATGACCATAAGGAACCTAAACGAGAGCATTTTATAGAAATGGAGGAACGTATCTCGAGCGATAATGTATCATTACAGGAAGCAGATGAAGAAGATGGATATTCCTCAGGTCCGCAATTGCAGACTGAAGTATATTCGAGAGTCCAAGGTAGACCACGAATTATCAGAAGTGGAAAACGGAGACGTCCTAGGAAGGAATACCAGAAAGCTGCGGATCCTGGCCCTAGTCGTGCAGAAGAGGAAAACGAAAGGGAAAATGAACAGGATGATACAGACAATGAAGAATTCCTGAATTGTGCAGGTGTTGCTGAGGTATTAGTAGAAGAAGCAATCACCGGAGAACAAGGAGAGGAATGGCAAGAGGCTATCATTTCTGAAGTAGTCAGTCTTATCAAATACGATTCACTAGAAATAATAAGGCGACAAGAAGAAGACAACCTGATCGGAAGTAGGCTAGTATTGACGAATAAGTATGTTCGTTCGAAATACGCGGCAATCATCGCGTGGTAAGGTTAATATCGATATTGCAATGTTCTTTTGTTTTTTTTTTTTGGTGTTCGTGCCGTTGCACGTTGCATAGTTCTTTCTTCTCTTCCTGGCGATCACGCGGATCGGACGCGTCGACTACACTTCTGCGTATAATAATTTTATATCTGCATTTCACGACCCTTTTGTATATTTCAATATATATAAATCATAGTCCTTAACAATAAATTTCAAAATTTTGAGCTTTTAAATTTAAAAATATTCAAATTCAAGAATTTCCAAATTTTGAACTTTCAAATTTATAAATACTATAATTAAAAAATTACTACATCCTGAATTTTCAAATTCACAAATATTCAAATTCCAAAATTTTTAAATCTTGAGCTTTCAAATTAAAAAATATTCAAATTCCAAAAATTTCTAAATCCTGAGCTTTTAAATTTATAAATACTGTAATTCAAAAATTACCACATCCTGAATTTCCAAATTCACAAATATTCAAATTCAAAAATTTCTGAATCCTGAGCTTTCAAATTAAAAAATATTCTAATTCAAAAATGACCAAATCTTGAACTTCCAAATTCATAAATATTCAAATTTAAATATTTCCCAATTTTGAACTTCCAAATCCATAAATATTCAAATTAAAAAATTTCCCAATCTTGAACTTCCAAATTCATGAATATTCAAATTCGAAAATTCCCAAACCTTGAACTTCCAAATTCGAAACTATTCAAATTCAAAAATTTCCAAATCTAACACTTCCAATTTATAAACGATTCAAATTCAAAAACTTCCAAATCTTGGGCCTCCAAATTCTTAACTATACAAATTCAAAAATTCCCAAATTTCTCATTCATCCAAACCACTTCTCACATTTTAATTTTCATTTGATCCATCTATAAATAACGAGTCATTGTCGTGTAAACGTTGACCTTTTTGCTTCAAAATATCGCCAGTTTATTTGCTAATCAAACGACAAAAAGTCCTACGTAGGCCGACAGTCAACTTGTGTGGGCGACTTAATGTGTTTCTAATGTTCCCACGAAGATATTGCAAAACCACTGCAGATTTCTAGTGTTTAGATATTTTAATGTTGACTTACTATAAAAATTTGCATAGAAAATTTCAAAGAAATTGGAGGTTTAAAGGATATTTCAGTTATGTCCATTAA